TATGCAAACGTTTGCTATTGCAATGATCATTGTGCTTGATTATGCCCTTTGAAATAGCTTTATACGTTTCCTCAGAAGCAAATTTACGAGATTATGGAAACAAAGCTAATTTAGTCGGCCTTTCTGTGCTCTAAATTATGTTTCTCTTCATCACTGTTTCCCTTCCATGCTCTTCGTCAGCAAACTCTCCTTCATCACCAAAACAACAAAGAACTCATTTCTATTGTTTTTTACCTTTTCTCCATTGCTGTAAGTTTAGACCGTTTCGAGCGACTAATTGTAAGCTGTAATAGTTGTAGTCGCAGTGGACAAAAGGTTTTGTTTACAAAAGAAAAAATTTTCTTTTTGAAAAAAGAACGTCATGAAACGACATTTTCGTTTTATTTTACATTGGATACTTTAGCCTCTCAACAAATTTTGGCGACTTGCTCTCATTTAAAGAAGGAGCAAGTCGAGCAGTTTGAATTTTGCAGCTTTATAGCGCAGGTTTCTAAAGGCAGATCTTTGGGGGCGAAAGTTGACTGCTGATTTGATGTGTTTTTCCGCGGATTGCTGTTATACCAATAGCTTCAAAAATTACATGCGAAATCCGAGTAGCCTCAGAGTACTGTACTCAGTCTTCAACTCCCTCAACAAATAGTCAGCAAAGATTTTCCGTTTAACAATAAAACCCGTCACTCTCGTCTTTCGCGAAATGATAGTAGCCCTACATTCTTTGAAGCTCAATTTTCTAGCTACCGCTAGTTTATATTTTGCAGATTATCTCGAAAATTGCAAGCTATTTTGGACTGCCCTTTCCAACTGAAGTTAGTGCAGTTTTGTGAGTGTTTAGAGCCTGGCACGCAAGCGTATGTTTCACTGGTATAAGATATTTCCATTTTTCAGTTATACCCAAGGCCTTCAGTTTTGCTCTTCAAATTACTAATTCGATTATAAACCTCACTTATTACAGTTTTTTTTTATGAAATATTTGCAGTCACTTGACTATTTCATGAAAGATTCAGGAGATTGTTGAAGATAATAAAGCAGAAACTAGAACAAAATTCCTCCATGCTTAGTCTATTTCCTATCCCAAATGTGGCTAATGGCAGTTTGACAAGGCATATAATCAGGTGGTTTCCTTAGGCAAGAAATTCATAGAATTAAAATCGAAATATGTCAATGTTTTACAATGGTACTGCTTACATTACCAAGATGCATTCTCTTTGACTATGTTTATCAGCAAAATCATGGATATGAACTCGTTGTGTACAGTTCCATATCAAAGGCAGCTAAAGTTATTATATAGTAAATAAATAATCAATCCATTTCGCCTACATATTTCCTTGCAAGTTAGTAGGATACATCTTTTTTTTTTCATGGCAAGTTCTGACTTACTACAAGTGTCGCATTTGAAATTTATGGCAAAGAGACTTTTGGAATTTTGCTTTGAATTACATGTTTTCCTGTAAATACCTCTTTGACGTTATTGCGGGTTACTTCCGCTTGTTACTCGGTATAGCCATAACTACGCCTTCCAATGACGCTTTTTACGAATTTGCGATCGCCTTCCAAACAAAGAATAGAAAAGTTAGTCGAAGATAGAGCTATGCAATGTGAAATCCCCTCAGTCCTGACTACACTTCTAGAAAGTTTCATCCAGTTTGTGCCATTCACAGCAGAATGTTATACAACTGTGTTTCAAAAATTGCTCTATGTTGTGGATACAGCTTCAGTAATTGTGAGAAATAGCAGCAGTCATCATAGGACGGTATAATAGACCACGCTTCGGCTATCTGCAAATCTTGCTTTATTAAAATGAATACTTTTAAGCATAATCCAAGATCGTTTTTTAAGGTTATGAACCTTCCAACCGGCTTGTCGTTTCAATCCGTCCAAGCTGTGAGGGTGCTTTGAAATCGAAAATACGCATGTCCTTGGCAATGGTGCTCGCAGTCTAGCACTTTGACAATGATATCCTTCTTCTATGATTAGTGTTGTGGAATCTTGTGAATTATTTCATTGGAAGACATGTACTATATTGTTTTACCCGTAGGCGTTGCTTTATAATGGCAAGTCCTAATTCCTTGTCATCACATCCATTAGTGTTTTCCCGCTTCTCTAATCAAAGAAAAGAGATATGGCAGGTGAAAACTCCAGATTACTCTATCAATCCACAGTGTATAGCATTTTCAAAATGTTTCTATGACAAGTTATTGGAGTTTTCCTCTGTGCTTCTCAATTACGGACAAAAAATCCGTGCCTGACGACGGTTTCCCCTGGGAGGTTATTTTGCTAATTCTCTTTATACCTTCTTATATGCTTCAGCAGGCAAACGTTTTCCACTAAGCTTTAGTACTACTTCTTCGGATCTGGGAAAAAAGATTTTGTCCTTTTCCGGCCACGTTGTTATTATCATCTCTAACTAACAGACAACCAAAGCGTAATTTCGAACCCTGTACAGCTTGGCTTTTATTTTTCGTTATTCCGATGAATCTATCACAAAAAATCAGCAACATTCACTGGGGTTTTTGGACAAACTTCTTCTCAAATGCTACTTTACTAAAATATTGAGCATGAGTTATCTGGGTGTCCCGCTTGAATTCAAAAAAATGTTCGCAAAGCCCCAGAGCATTCGTTTTGAGCATTTGCTGCTTATACTATAATCGTACCCAGCTCTTTACCCTCTGCAACTACCTTGAATTTTGATCGTAAAATGGACAGGCATGAAATGATTTTGTGGGTGAAAACCGAAGATTTCCAAATTAGTTTGAGGAGTTTAAAAAAAGCGCCTTCTAGAGATTGAGCATTTAACCTATTGAACTTGCACTAAAAAAAACTCAAAAAATTCATTAAAAGGTGCCCAAATAATGCTTTCGTCCCGGTCGGTCACAACGTTAAACCAAAACTAGAACTGGAAGTTGTTGGACGTATAAGCATTCCTAGAGATCAAAATCAGAGGACTTTTTGTCTTGATTAGTTTGAGGCGATACAACAAAAGCTATTGAGCATTATTGAAAACTGCCTGGTTTCTTCTCTTTGAAGTACATCATATCGAACGGGAATGTGGAGACACCCAAAAATTCTCGTGGGCCCATAACCCCGAAATTTCTCAGAAAAAGGGGAGTGACACCGGCCACGCTCCCAAGAAAAAAAAACTTTTTTAAGGGTAAAATGAATATTTTTAAAAAATTCTAAAAATTACTTTAGTTATTTATAAATACGAACAAGTTACTTGCGCAATTTTTAACTCATATAAGTTACTATCAAAAAATTCGCGACCGACTGATATTGAGTTTCTTTGCTAACTATGAGTAAATATTATAGGTACATGGTTCCCGAGTGAGCATTTACTCAATCTCACGTTGCCTATCTTGCGTTCAATAGCGCAAAGCTTGTGAATTCCGAAGAATACTTCACACAAATTGCTTGCATTGCTATCCAGTAAATGACGTATGGTACCACGGTGGCTCTTAGCAAGCCGAAAATGCAAATCGAGCAACGACTCCTATACATCCCACCCTTCTATCGGTCAACCACGAAAACTTTTTGCAACATGTTTCGAATTCAAACCAGGAACGTTTCGATTGCGTGTGGTTTACCAATATTTCACCACATAATTTTCTGTAATCTCGTTGTTGCAGATGTAAATGAAGTGCTAGCTTTTGTAAGTTGTTTATTCTCAATTCCATCTCAGTATCGCTGTTGTGAGCACAAGATTGATTGCGGCAGTGAATCTGTCAAAAATGAGAAAATTTTCTCGAATAACATTCACGCCAGAACCCTATAATATAATTGGTTTTTGCAACCGTTCTTAGGTTGTCTGTCACGATAACCATAGCCGTGGATCATATGTGAGCTGAAATTTACTCTATTCGTAGCATTTTTATGAGCCATCATAAAACTTATCAGCATAATCAACTGATTCAAATCTCTTACGAGAAAATCGCTTGCGAATTACTTTTTTGACTGTCTTATACTTATAGTTACACATTGCAACAGTATAATAAGACAGATTTTGTCAGATTTTATGTTTTTTTAATAAAAGGCATTTCACAAAAATCAAAAGTCAATGTGAGCACAAGAAATTCAATGTTTTCTGCTTATTTTTTACACTATCCGGTATCTGGGCTTAGAACTCTACCGGTTAATAATCTTCCTACTTTGTTACAAATAAGCTTATCAAGCTTATAGCATGATATAAGGCAGTTAATCTTCCACCGAATGTTCTTACTCTAACTTCTAAATAGCGCCATCTCTTAAATTTCCATTTCTAACAATTTCCTTCGCTATATCCACGTTTACGTTTTGATAGGTCTCAGTACGCGAACGTACGTAGAGCGCATTTATAGGGTATTAAAAATTACTGAGACCGTTGTCATTATATTTTATTCTCGACTTTATAGCTCACAAGAAGAGGGACTTCCAGAATGCGGTCTCAGTTTCTTTACGATTTCTCAGTTTCTCATATGATCGTTTCCTGTTGATATCACATTATATATGTGACTAATTACAGTATTTTGAATCAAACAATTCACAGTGCGTCCACCTAATTCGTTTTATTTTTTGGCTTGCAGGAACCACAGTTACAACTACATACAAACAACGGGGTGATTTCACATGATGGCACGATCCTTCCTCAAAACTGGCAAAAATAAAACAAATCATGGCCAAAAACATGTGATATACAAAATCGTTTTCTCCCGAAAGGTTATGCAAGTGTTGCACCAGTAACGTACATTGTTCGAGAAACAATGGAAAGTTATTGTAATGTTGTTGAAAACATCCGCACCAAGACAAACATACACTAATGAAAAATGGAAACTTTATGACACATAGTCGAACTTACGTCTCTAGAACGAGTCTTCAAGTGATGATAAACGAAGAGCCCATTTACAGAACACCCTATGACAACAGAATAAAAACTAAAACCTGTAGTTCTGATGTGGACCAGCGAGAATTGTCAATATTCTCATCCAGACATTGAAGTTCTATTGGTATAGAAACAAACCTTTACGAAATCAAGCCTTCTTCAGCTCGCTGAATCCGAGCAGTTTTAGCTTTTCGGCGACATCCTTTGGAAGCGGGGGTGATCGTAGAATCACAGTACCATTTGGAGCGAGAAAACTGCGAAAGTCATCTGGGTCTTCGTTTGGTTCGGCAGTTGCAGCTGGGACTTCTGTAGGTACAAAGTCAACTGGGATAATGGTCCTTCCCTGACTGTCGGTTGCAGTGGTAGAACCCTGTGTGAATCCAGAAGAAGAAGGAACTGCAGAGGATTGTACAGCGTCAATAAAAAATGGAGTCGAGGTTTCGAAAGGAGGAGGGAACGTCATTGAAACTGAGGGACTTGCCGTGGCTATTATAGTCGAAATAATATCGACAGTTGTCTTGTCTTCAGGTGGAAGGTCAGGAGCACCATCAAAGGGGTTCGGAGTGCTTGCTGGACTGAATGGTGTGGTCCCGAAAGGAGGAGGTGGAGGAGGTGGTAGAGTCGGAACATTGGGATCCACGCCGATGAAACCAGGGGATGCAGTAGAAAAGGTTCCGCCTGGGGCAGGGACATTACCCTGGCTAGTGTCAACTCCAAATAAGACGGGATTCACTTCCTTGTTCCCAGTGTCCACAGATGGGCTTGGCGGTATTTGTCCGATGCCAGTGCCGATGGCCGGGCTCTGTGTCGTTGGGAAGGGCTCTAATGGGCCATCGATTCTACTTCCAGGAACAGTACTACCGCTGTCAGGAGGTGGAGGTAGAACTGGTGGCAGACCACTAGGTGGAGGATCTACTGAAGGTGGATCCGGTGGAGGTGGAGGAGGTGCAACTGGGAGCTCTCTAGGCGGTGGTTGCTGGAAGCCTTGCTCTATAAAAGCAGGTCTGGCGTAGGAACTCCTTGCCTGCTGCTCTATCATAGGCGGTCTTCCATAGGAGCTTCTCACTGGCGGTTCGAAGATTGGAGGCCTTCCGTATGAGCTCCGTCCCTGCCCCTCGTAGGAACCGCTCCCTCTATAGCCAGTATTCCAGTTTTGCTCTTGGGAATAAATGTGCCGTTGTTGGTGATTATGGAAGGGTTGTTGGTTCCAGACTTCAGACTGACTTTGATCAGGCGCCCATTGTCGCTTGACCCTGAAATGCGTAATAGATACCAAGGCCTGCGTTACGTCACTGATGCATGATCATTCAAAGAATGCAAAAAGACCAACTTGACAGCAAGTAAATCAAAAATCGTCAGAAATTACCTCTGATTTCGTGCTTCTGCGAATTGCACAAGGAGCAGGAAGAGAAACGGCGCTCGCCACGGCATCCGAGAACGTTTTGACATTCGACAGCGGAGCGTAACCAGTTGCTGGCCGAGACGCTGCCCGAAAAATGACCCATATAAGGATGTGACTCATTTGCTAAATAGTCTCTTGGGATAACCGTTAGACTATCACTTATGGGTATTGGGCGAACATCGATGCAGTTTTTCATGTTAGTTTGCGGGTGACTCACTCTCACGACTTCGTGGCAACAATGAAATGATGTGCGGTCCAAGGTTGCCATCATGATTTTTCCCTAGAAAAAACGGCTGTTTTCGAACTTTACAACGCCTGCGTAGGTTATAGCGGTCATTATTCTGTTGTGGTCTAAGTTGAGTCACTAGATTTCAAGAAAAACCCATTGGGAGGGCGGGAGGGGGGGGGGGGGTAAGGGGGAGGGGAGGAAGTGTATTTGCGAAACAGCCATTTTGTAATTGCCATTATGAGGTAAACTAACTGCATTTTGCAAGTTACAGAAAAAAGTTGTATTCCCTTTTGGGAAAGGGATATTTAGACTTGGAGAGGGGGGGGGGGGGCGGGGAACACAGCGAAATGGAACGATGCATCAAACTTTTTTTTACATAATTCTTCACGTCGTGCACCAAAAGACAAATGATGTTTAGTGCGTTTTTAGGTCTCATTCGAATTATAGTTTTGCTATAGTGAAAAGTTAAGTCAAGCTAAGTTTCTCAGGCTAAGTTAGAGTCAGCAATAATAAGCTAGCCATTTAAGATAAATCTGACTTGAAGCACAGTGAGTGAGGTCAGACATCCATGATGTAATGCGTCTTGGGTGTAAACTTCTTTTTCTCAAGATCTTTTGACCCTTCAAGTTTTCCATATGTACTTGAAGGACGAATCGATCTGCAGAATAGAACTTCATCACACGTTGGTTCATACTTTTACATGGTACGTCATTCGTACATTATCGTAGACAAATTCTCAAGGTGAGCCGTTAAGAAAAGATGACCTTCTGTTTACAGTAGGGGCAAAAGCCATAATGCCTTATCCCAATCCCTTCAACTCAAGGCATGAAGCGAGATCACATCCATCGTCCAAGTCCGTAAGGGAAATTCTCCAAAAAGGGGATCTAGTGCTTTGGTATAAAATCACTTTTGTGTATAGCGTAAAATTATAAAGCCTTCAGAGCCGAATCTTTGACTATATGCTTGTTCTGCAAATTCACTTACTAGACCTCAAAACAGTGCTTTAAAACAATTGCTGACAATGTCGCTCATCCAGACTTCATCGCTGCGCTTATTACGAAAATCCACCATGGATAACGCGAAAACGATGGGAATGCGCTTTTCCCAAAGCTCCATAATTTGAATTTGGGCGTAAAACTCCGCTAAAGCTAAGTCTCAGAGTCCGTGTACCCTATTCCAAACTTTGAACATGCGTAGTCTGCCGCAGAACCAAGGCGGGCAAAAATGCTCTACTAGAGCATGGTTTTCTAAGTTTTTTGATGCTCTTACTTTGCTGTAGTCTTGCTTGCTCTTACTACTGCACGATAGCGTGTCCGAGGCATGTGAATTTCACATAAAACTAAATTTGCGGCATCCTCCACCTTGGCCTGGGCACTGTCTTGAAGATGGATCCACAAGAATGTGACAAAAAAGGAAGAACAAGACTTGACTGGAAAATGATCTAGCTTTTGCTTCAGTGAGCTGCGCCTTGTAAATCAAATTATCAGGTCGGTGCAAAACTTTTGTCATTTTTTTCGAAATGACTCGCAAATCCCGTACAGTGAAGTTAACAAACTTTTCAACTTGTATCCGATGCAGAATTTCTTCCTCTTTCCGGCTATCACCAGCCTGATTCACTGAGAGAGTGCTGAGATAATTGTTGGAAATCACAACTCTTTGTTTTCACCAAGTCCAACTTTCGCTAGCAAAATTTCTAAATGAGGCTTTTGGAGAAGCTTCAATAACCTGCACATAGAGCAAACCTTTTGCCAACTGAGGCAATTTTTTTGAAGCTCTGTGGCTTATATTTTAGAATTTTTCAAATATATTTTCTGAAGTAAACAAATTTTGAACTTCACCTTTTGTCACCTCGTAGAACTGAAATGATAAGCAGTTCGAACACCATTCGATATAACTTTTTCTCCTCCTTATGGTTTTCTTTTCTCGGCGAGATATGCGAAATTTGAAAATTAGCGCATATTTCTCATTTTCACGTGTGCACACTGGCTTATCCTAAGTTTCAAAACCTCCATAATTTGAAGCGGAATTCGCTCTACCTTGTAAGGTTGGTAATGTAGTAACTGAGCGTTAGAACCTCAGTATTTCGAAGATCCTGCACTGCTTGGTGCAATAACAGGTTAAGCGGTTTCTCCAAAATTTCCTCTATTGGAAAAGTGTTTGCAAAATTCTAAAAAAGTAGCTGAAAAAAGAGGAAAAATTGCTTTAGTTGCCAAAAGGTTTGCCTTGTCTCCTGGCTACTGAAACTTTCCCAAAAGTCTCAAATAAAATTTTTGAAAATTAACGAAAAGTGAACCTGGTGAAAACGAAGGGCTGTAAATTCCAGCGATTATCTCAGCAGTTTCTCAACGAATCACTTTGTTAATCTAGCATCCGGAAAGAGGAAAAAATTCTGCATCGGATACACTTTTAAAAGGTTTGTTTATCTTCATTCTACCGCGCTTGCCGGTGGATTCAAAAAACTGACAAAATTTTTGCACCGACCTAATATTTTGCTGAACAAGTTAGCAATTTTCAAAGATATATAACAGACGACATATTTCAGCTATTTTTTGTTGTTTTTCTTTCACAGTGAAGCTCGTAATGCATTTCATGCTTGTGTAGCGAGAAATTACTTATGTTGAAATCTGTGCTGGGCAGATCTTTGATTTCAGGCACGCTGGTACTATTCAGTATTCAGAAATATCAGAAATGCCTTTTGCTATTGTAACAGCTTTTTCATAGAAATGGCTACTGACAAAATTCTTATTCATTCAGCATTTCCCACGCTAGAAAAAATCAGTCGTTATCTCATACTGCAAGGCAAAGTCTCAAATATGGCATCTCCCTGTTTGTAGCAGATGAAAAATCTAGTAGAAATTCCACCCTGGCTTTTGGATGTTTCCTACCAAAGTTTCTCCAGCTTTGGTGCTCAGTTTCATGTCAGTACAACATCTCCCTGCGTAAAACATCGGACTGCAAAATAGCATTGAATATACCCATTCACTGTTGCACAACACTCACACTGAAAGTTTATTTTGCTACCTGTCGACATGCTTTCTTTTTGGCCAGAATTATCCATTAGTGAAGGATCGTTTGCTTTTAGGCTCAATGTACATAGCGCAACACCTTCTAGGAAAAAAGAAGAGTTGGTGCTTGCTGCCAATTGCTTCTTTAAATTACATCTTGAATGAATCACATAAAACTCTTTGAACAATTTTGGCAGTCTTTTTTTCAATATCATGACCGACTTTGGCCCAAATTTGCACATTTTTTGGTTACTTATGATATCAAGTATATCCCAACTTCAGAGATAACAAGCTTTACCATTGAAGGATATTTATGGAGATTTCACACATGCTAACAAATTATGATGCGAAGAAATCCATGTTCCCTAATGGCTTCCGAGTGGAATGCACTTGAAAGCTACTTGACTTAGATGGCCTTTTGGCGAGTGACATATATATTTTGAATTAGCTTCAAACGCTGATTCAAGTTATGCTACTCCTAGCTGCCGCGCACCATTCCGAAACGAGTTACGGGCTTTTTCCTGCGCAGAATTTGCATACTGCTAAACATGGAAAGGCTACCTCTAGACAAAAATGTGCAAGAAATAGGTGCTGAGATATCGTAACAAATCCAATCCTTTCTCACTAAAATAAGACGCAAGTGTATTGGAAGTTAGATGATGATGCTAAGAGCTAAGTTAGGTAGCTTCCCTTGTTAGATTGTAGTCCTTCGATAGCATTTTGACATCTCAAAGGTCTTAATCTTCGGTTATTGAGATTACGTTATCTTGTTTTTTGTTACCTCAACATAAAAAATAGCATCTTTGCAAACATGTTGAGTCAATGTCTTCATAACTTCTTGAATGTTCTGCAGCCCAAGCTGAACTGGCCTCCGCATCTCGTTTAATAGTCTACCATCAAAGGATGCTTGGTGATCTTTGAGAATTTCGATAAGACATAGTTCATACCCTTAAACTCAACTTAGGACGCTGACTCCTCTGATTTTGGTTTGCTAAAAAAACGTTCTAAACAGCGCCATAGGCATGTATGAATTTCACTGCTGAGGATAGACATCCAGCGTCTGTTGGCACAGGATATTCAAGCTTAATTTGATGCTGGGTCTCGGCTTGAGTTCCATGAAGCGAAACAGAATTGATATCCATGATTTTTGACAATGCCTATAATGTAAAAACGTTATAACTGTATTTCTCGAAGAATGCTTCACTTATTCCAAAACAGATTCGACATCAGCGTTACAAGCATATTACATCTCCGTACTCTTTTTGTTTATGGTCGCGGATTGAGTGAGGATTAAATTTCCGAAAGAATCTGAATGTAGATATCCATGTACTGCTACAGTGCTGGTCATAATTATAAAAACACTCTAGAAACTGTCGTAATTTGCGTTCTTCTTGACGAATCTGTCTGAAACTTTGCTGTTTAATGTGTATATTAGCCTAACATGATCCCTCAAAACGCCTTCCGATTTTGCTGAGTTTGAATGGAGAAACTTAGAAAAATTCAAAAAACCTCTACTGAAAGCTGGACAAAATTAAAAAGACATCTGGGTTTTTTGAACGCTATCGCATCCCCTGACTTAAAATTTTGTGTACAGTTATATACTAAAATGTGAAACATTTGCAACATATGCGACCTGTCATTCTTTTCGAAGAGAAGCTTCAAGCTCTTGTTCATTTCAGATGATAGCTATGGAATTCACTAAGTCTTCTCGATAAATGAGTTGGAGAGCGCTTTCGTAAACTCTGCTTGATCGCTAATATTGACGGACAGACTCCAACCTTAACATAGGTTTGTCACGCTTTCAAACCACAAAACTCAATTTTCAAGCAACAGAAAATTCTGTATCGTAGCCATTACGTCGGCTGTACAACAGTGAACTTGTTTGCACAATTAGGAAAGAATTTCGAAGTTGGTATAATGGTACAGCAGCAGTTGTCATGCACTGAATTCTGAGTGGAGCACCCTGCACAATGATAGCCAACACAAATCACGAGATAGAACAGGAGACCCCTCAGAACTTCAAAACCTTAGCTAATCTCATTCTTTGGGTAGATTCTGACATGAAACAGAGACGAAAATAGTGAGATTCATAATTATCTCGAATCCACTGTTCGCAGAGAATTTTCGTGGAAAATATTTCAGGTCTAAATTGCCACCGCAACATTAGAGAAAATCTGAAAGTTGTTGCGAAAGCTGCATCACCATGTAGGCAATGCAATAATTCAAGTCCAGCACTTTATGAACATTGTCAACTGTGTTTTGTGCTATGAAAGCGTGAGAACCTATGCCGAGGTTGGAGTCTGTCCGTCAATATTAGCGATCAAGCAGAGTTTACGAAAGCCCTTTTCAACTCATTTATCGGAAAGGCTCGGTGGATTCCATAGCTATCATCTGAGACGAACAAGAGCTTGAAAACTCTTCAAACCAGATGTTTGTTGAAGCAGATTGAGTTTTGGTGCTTTTGAAAACAAAAAATGCAGTGAACAGTTCTCTTTGAAAAGAATGACAGGTCGCATATGTTGCAAATGTTTCATATTTTAGTATCTACGTGTACAAAAAATTTCCAAGTCAGGGGATGCGATAGTGAGCAGAAAAACCCAGGTGTCTTTATGACTTTGTCCAGCTTTCGGTAACGGTTTTTCAAATTTTTCTAAGTTTCTCCATTCAAACTCAACAAAATCGGAAGCCGTTTTGAGGGTCCATGCTAGGCTAATATGCACACTAAACAGCAAAGTTTCAGACAGATTCGTTAAGAAGAACGCAAATTACGACAGTTTCTAGAGTGTCTTTATAATTATGGCCGGCACTGTACATATAGAGGGATTTATTAGCTAAAACTTATTTGATGGGTAAAGAGCAGCAGCCTTTTGTAAGCATGAAATGACTCATAGCCATTCTCAATCAAGAAAAGTATTGCAATTTCGAGAATATTCTGATTGTCATCTGCAATCGCGTTTGCTTTGCGTCACACAGACTTGACCTGAGATGGTTCAAACTTAGAATTACAGTACGGAGCAAATTTACGATCTTTTTTCGTTATATGACTACGGTAGGAACTTCTAGGATACAGACCGTTGTGAAATAAGTCTTCCATAAGATAACGAAAAAAAGTTAGAAATTAGTGCAGCAGAGAATCCGCGCACGCTGATCTTTACTTTCTACAGAATTTTCGAGCTTCTCTGGTGGTGTAATCATATTTCAAAGGACTTTAAAGGCACTTCTACCTGTACTTTCGAAAGAAGCATGGATGCGCAAGCCTCATATTTATATTCAACGACTCTATTAGGTATATAGTATATATATATATATATTGTCTTTGGCTTGTTCGGTTTTCTATCCTAAACAAAATGCGACTGGCTCATAACCTACACCAAGGTTTCCTACCGTGAATGGTAGGAATGAGTGATCGGTGATTCGCTCTACACTGTAAATCCAAGTTGAAGGGGCTCCAAAATATGTCACCTGAAGCTTTTTTCAAGGATTTATGGCAAGATAGTTATCAACAATCACATGGTAGGCAATTTTTTGGGACAGCTGTACGCTGAAAATATATAGGTCATTCATAAAATCTGATGACGGTTTTGATTACGTCTTTGCACCCACAGGAGATAAAACACTCATATATAAAAAGTTTTAACCTCAACGCTTAGCTCAGTCACTTCCAGTGTCCAAATACTATCGTACATAAGCAGAAAAACCATTCGAATAGAGATTAAAACCAAGAAAATGCGGTTGCCGGAAGTGCGTATGTGTTGCGTGCAATCTCGCCATTGTCACGATTTTCGAATGCTCTATACCTGTACAAAGATCTTTTCAATTCTGCCCAAAAAGAGAAAGATCTGAGGCAAATTTATGGGCATCAATCAGATCACGCAACGATTGCGCAACTCGAAACAATGAAGACTTCCGTGTTAAATTCTGAACCAGGTCATTCTCGATACAGCGCCGCTTTTTGGCATGATCTCTGTTTTCATCTCTTGATCAGCGAACATCGTGGGTGGAAGTGATAGTAAGAAGCAACGCCCATTTCTTTTAGCGAACTTGGAAACGATATAAAAAGGAGCGAATCGAATCAGACCCACATCGACAATGATGATCTACATTCTTCTCCTTTGTGTTGGCATTGCATCGGCTGGTGTTGGAAGGTCAGTTTTCATTTTTGATTACTGGTTTTTTTTCCTAAAATAGCATAAAGTATGCTGATACTGCTGTCTTCACTAGTAATGCAAATCACATATCCTTCTGCCTGTTCTAGGGTAATTTAGACATGTTTTATTAACATTTTCGAAAAGCAAAGTTCTTGAAAAAGATATAGGAAGAAATGTGATGCTTCTCAATAAGTTTGCACTGTCAGAATTTTTCTGAAACACTGCAAAGCCTAGATCATGTTTTAGAAACTTCAATGGAAAATGAAGAACAAAGTTGAGTAGATAAGTAGCTATTTGCTCACAGATTCATAATTGCTGAAGGAAATGTAGACAGAAGAAATTATTAAGAAAGCTAAATAAATGAATTTCATTGACAAAAAAAATCCCAGATATCATTATAGTGCCACTCCTGAGCTACTGATTTATGAACGATAGCAGAAAAGTTCAAGTCCAAATTTGAAGCAAATTCTCAGCGCCGGATAATCTCTAATCCTTACAGGTTCCGCCGCGGCGGATACGGACGCCCCCAAATGTTCGCTCCACCACTTCCCGACACGGGATTCCCACAACCACCACCACCACCACCACCACCACCAATGGGAGGAGGATATGGACGCCCAAGCTTCGGTGGAGGCGGATACGGTGGCCCAAGCAGCTTTACTTCTGTGAATATCTACGACCAACCCCAAGGTGGCTATGGACGACCTAGCGGTTACGGAAGACCAGCAAGCTTCGGTGGATTCGGACAAGACGGCGGCTTTGGTGGTGGAAGTGATTTTGGATCTTTCGGCGGACGAAAGTGAAGATATCATGTTTTTTGCTATGCACGGGTAATCAGCGAAATTGACGTTCCCCAATAAATATTGGGATAATTTTATGTTCTACCTTACATCCGCTTGCATTATCATGGAAGTTACACTAATGCATGCACTTGTCGGTGAACTTGGTGGAAGCAGCTACTAGTCACGAGTTCCAACTTTTCAGTCCCTTGGTTGACACCTAATGAGACTGGCCAATGAGACTGGCCAAATCGAATCACTTGCAAGGTTCTTGAGAGACCACCTTGATAGCGACCTTGATCGTTGCTCTAGCATATAAACTTTCGTTCTAGCGCGGAAGTAGATGATGTCAATGTGAAGCAAACTGTTGCTTTTAAACTCAGCGTACTTGGCAAGTACCTCTTCACAGTGACTTATGGAACCATCTTCCGATTTCCTCCACAAAATGAGGCCGCTGAATCAGAAAACATGCGAATGGGATCTTGCAGCAAATTACCGAAACAAGAATAGCTTCTAGTTTTGCACTCAGTAAAATTCCATGAATACCCGAAATTCGCTTTGGGAGTCAAAAAAGCATATCGAAGCATTAAGCAATGTACTCACATTCTTCACTTTTTCTAGGATCATAAATATGGTCATTCCTTTCCGCTATCTGTGTGCAAAGTTTATGGAGCTTTCATGGTTCAAAGTGAATAGTTCTATATAATCTCTGCACCGTAAGGTTCAACACTTGGCTGAGAATTTTCTGTTCAACTTCAACAAAATACGCTTATTTTTGCTTTTTCGGTAGGGCTTAGTGATACTCGATAAAACAAAGCAAGCTCTACGAAATGGCGACCTTGTCACAGAACTTTTTAACGGGCTTCAATTTTACATGGACATTTGATAGCTAAGTCTAAAGCAATAAAAATCGGCGATCGGCGAATTTTGGGGAGGGGGGGGGGGATTTCCTTGCAACACACTTTTTCTTTTCAAGAAGATATCTATCAACATGTCAATTTGCTCTCCCAGATTCAACTGGCGCAACAATTCTATATTTTAGAAACTCCCCAACAAAGGAGGGTTTCTCACTTCTTTTCGATGCAGTTATAGTCAAACTTGTGACAATGCTCATTAGATAAGGAATAAGTGAAGCGGTAACGGATTTTCCTTCGATTCAAGCATGCAGGTGAAGCAAAAACCCATAGAAAAAAATTTTTTTTATCACGAAAGCTTTGTTGCAACATGCTGAAATTTGCATTAGCATTTAGTTGCTTTGCTACAGCGACTTTTGCTTCTACTTGTAATTCCTTCCAGTGAGATACAAGCAGAAATATCTAAGTTATTCTATTAACAGCCCCCCCCCCCCTCCCATGACCGCAAATCTCACAAATTTCCTGCCAAAATTTCCATAACATCGCCTCCCTGCCAATGCACAGCATTACATAGCTTCAAAACCCCGAAAAACACAGGTATTTGTTGCCAAACAAAACAGCAATAATGTGACGCTCTCGAAGCTAGCGTTTTTTCTGCTCTCACTGTCGCAGTACTTTGGTAGTAAAATTTTTTTCTCGACGTTCAAGTCTTGTTCCGTATTGCGGCGATTTCTTTTTTCAGCTCAGACACACGTCAGAATCCAATAAATACACAAGTTCCGCTTTGAATTTTTTCCTGTTACTAACGATATTCGAAAGAGATCTTTGAAAGCTAGATGTGGTTCCTAAATTCACGTCTTCAGCTAATAAGCCTTGAAGAAATGTTTGCTCATCATGTAGTAAAAACAAAATCAAAATATTGACCGAGTGTTCACGAAGTTTCCAGACATGATCAAAGAAATGTGACGATTTAAAAGAACAGGAAGAGCGAACGAACTCTAGAAGCATTGCCATCTTCGCACCCAAAAGAAATTACTAGGAAGAATTGCGAATAAATGACCAACAAGTTAAACAACTGCTGGAAGTCAGAGATGGAGCTGTGCTGAAGGTCTCATGAAGAAAAATTTCTTGCGTGAATAAGTTTGTCACAGCGCACTTGTGCGTGACCTCTAATATAGGAAGCTACAGTTGTATCGACACATTCAGAATATATCAATAAGTTGAGTATGGTTCATGCAAATACTCTTGCCCCATTGGTAATAAGGGGACCGACCTATAAAAGGTCGTCTAAACCTCTAATCCAGACGAAACTTTATAGATTTACTGATGCAAAAGATCAAATTAGACTTAACTTGGGAAGAACGGTAAGTCAATGTGGCTTTTAAGATGGGATGTACACCATTTCGGAATAGAACGCTGAATCGACATTTGTCATCGTTATCTAAGAGTGTTTATGCGCGAAAAGTTATGGGCTTCTATCGGAAAACGAATTGTATGTGTAAGTAGGATATACTCGTAACATTTTTCCAGGGCTTGGATGGAACGGCGATAGTTCAGAGCTATTCTGAACAACCATTCGTTTTTCTGCGTTAACAAACGCTCATAACTCCTCGTCCATAAATGCTCGTAGATAAAGAACATAAATCTCTAATCAGGCGTTCTATGCCTTCGTGATGTATATCTTTCTCAAGAGGCTACTTACTAACCTTCCCTACCTTGTTAATTGTAACCTTCTACAAAACAGGAGTAGACTTACTTTAAAGTCTTCTTATCTTTTCAGTCAAGGTATTATTGTGCTACCCCAACTGTAGATTTCATTGTCGACGATTGCTATGCCACAGAGAAAGTGACGACTTATTTGAAAAGCATCCGATGCAATTTTCATCCACCTTTTGGCGATTACGTTACAAGCCAGCATCAATCAGTAAACCTTGGCAGCATACCGAAAATCACTGCAACAAGATTCACATGATTTGCATGCTAAGCATCACATTAATCTCTAAGGCCTCATTGAGAATGCACAAATTTTTGAGGAGAGAAAAGGGTAATGCTCATTGAAACGATTTTTGGTTACTTGCTTAATTGCATTCTTGCACTAAGGTATACAGGGTGTCCGTAAATTATGTATACACTGTTTGATCGTTAATATGTCTTTTCCCAAGAAGTCTTTTGCCTTGCTTCAGGTATCATTTTGTAGAGCTGGCTTCAACTTAGACAGTATAGAGCGAATCACCGATTTCTCTTCAATACTGTAGTATTACGGTAGAAACTTGAAACATATAGTGTCAATGTGGAAAAAGCTGCCTTTCAAAATTTTTCAAAAAAATCTGAAAATTTGTGTAGTGAGGTTTTTATGAACGCTGAGTTCAATGCTCAACTATTCACAAGATTGCGAAGCTTTCTAAAAGTGTAAAAGCACTTTTTAGGGACATTGAAGAAATGGCCGTTATCTCTTACCTGGCATAACTCTTCAGTGAAACATCTTAATAAGTTGGGAACTTTATAATTAGAATCAGCGACTCCAATTAGCCTAGCTTAAAAGTTTTTAGGCTGTTTTGTTTCATTTCTGAGGCAAAATATGGCCTTTCATGGCTCAAAACCCTTTTTGAAGTTTCCACTGTAATCCTACAGTAACCAAGGGAGATGGGTGGTTCGTTCTTTACTGCAAATCTAAGATGAAGCCAGCTCTACAAAACGGTACCTGAAGCAAGGCAAAAGACTTCTTGGGGAAAGAGATATTAACGATCAAACAGTGTATACATACTTTACGGACACCCTGTATAATATATGGTAGAAAGTTGCTTGTGTTCAAGTCAAAGCAAAATTCTCCATTGCGTTGTATAACGGTTTGGCAGAGCTAATAAATTGTTTTCGAAAGCTCATGAACGGTTACTCTCGAAATTCTACTACTTAGAGCTTTGTTGTGAAGCTGCTTATGGGCTAGTAAGTAATAAAGAATCGAAAAAATTTCTCTTCTCATGGAGAAGAATGAGAGTCAATTTTCAAAGACATCTTTCAAACAGTTGATCGACTTTGATTCTTTTGATGGTAATGGAGCCAAATAGGTTTCAAGTTTTAAGTAAAGTGTCTGTTTAAACTGGAACAAACATAAATCATTTAGATCATTGCTTTCGAATTAGCATTGGGAGCCTTGAAGATTGAGTATGTGATAGCATAGACGGCGAAAGAAACGTATTCGCAGAAAGAGCAGAAGAAGCTGCAGCGAAAGACAACTATTTAGCATTTATTTCTTTCTCTCTGAGATTGAAAATCTATTTTCAGCATATGGGAATATTCAAAATACCGACACTCTGCCGATTTTCCTGCTTATAGCAGAATCGCTTCAATCGGCAAGTAAATTCATTCCGACATCCTGCATTCTAATGCCTAGTGCTCATGCAAATCCTCGTAAAGGAGAATGGCGTCACAAGCATTCATCATTTCAGCAATATGTAAAAATATCTTACGCCAACGCGTTTAAGCTCGAGATATTGAGACCCGCGAAGAAGCTTCTTTTGTAAACATTGAAGACAGAAAAGAACAGCGCAACGAGGTCTTATGAAACCTAATCAGGATTCCACAAGAATCTCCACAGGGTGTCCAGAAATCAGTATTTATTCAAACCCTTGCTGGCGGCCTTATTGCGAAAACTATACGAAGAATATGAGCTGGGTTACCCATCACAATTTACAATGCATGCAGTATTAAATATCGATTTTTGCATTTATCCATGTATTTATAAGCGAATTGGGAACACGACTTTTTTGAAACTTTGGTCAGCACTCATTTTCTGCAGGCTTTTGTAGTTATGGTGAAATGTAAAATTTCAAGAATTGTATTGTCCACCTACTCAGTCAATCAAAAAATGGATCTGCTTGCAAGCCGTAGTTTGGATGTGACTTGGGTTTTTGTGAAATCTCCCATGTCAAGAAGTCTTTCGGGATGCTTTGGGTACCATTTTGTAGAACTGGCTTTAACTTAGACTTAGAGTATGGAGCGAGTCGCCGTTCTATTCATTACTGTAGGATTACGGTGGGAACTTTAAGGAGGTTTTTCCATCATTGTGGGTCCTATACCCCAAAAAGGACTAAAGAAGCTGATAATTCCTACTCTAGGTTAATCAGACTCGCCGATTTCGAAGATGATACTGCACTTCACCGTGACGTTACCGCTTTTCTTCTATTTTATGCCAGTTATACCGTAACAACCGATTCTGATATTC